TACATACATACATACATATATATAATGTACATACACATAGCACGAGACACAGAGAGAGCGAGAGAGAGAGAGCGAGAGACAGAGCTCTAGGGTTTCAGGGTGCTTCTGCCTGTGGGGCCCCAGGATCTTCTGCTCTGCTCCCGGGGCCGCGGGCCGCGGGGGTAATTTTGGCGGGCTTTAGGGTTTAGGGTTTAGGAGTTTAGGGTTTGGCGGGTTTAGGGGTTTAGGGTTTGGGGGGTAAGGGTTTAGAGATGAGGCTTGAAGCGTTTAGTAATTTAGGGCCTGTTTAGGCTTCAACTGTTGTGGGGGTTCAGGCTTCACGGGTTGGGGACGCTGTTGGTCTTAAGGGTTTAGGCCCGGCTTTGATTTAAAGGGTCTAGGGTTGAGGCTTCTAGGGTTAGGGCCTAGGACTAGGATGGTTCAGAGTTTAGCATGGTTTCGGCTTAATTAAGGGTGTATAGAGAATAGAGTAGACAAAGGCTCAGTGGGGCCGTTCAAAAGGCGGGTATGCATCGTTACAGTAAGGCCACTAATGAAAATCATGCCGGGCCAGAGATTTCGGCAACTATCTTCTTCGGAGTGATTCCAGCGATTCGCCGACATCACAGGCATCCTCTACGACTATCCAGCGACATGGAGGACACCGCGAGGGCTTCGGGCTTTAAGGCTTCGTTGCTTTGATGAGGGCATCATTGATTCGGTGGCTTCTGCGCTCCAGAGTCAGCCGGGGGGCAACATGCCTGAACCTCGGTCCATCCTTTCACAGCCTGAGAAAGTGTTATTTAAATCTCTTGACATCTGGCCCAAAGCCTTAGGGAATACTCCTTAAGCCCGGCAGGCGCCAAGCCTACATTCTGAGTTGGCACATATGAGTAGGGCGGGCCCGGTTCCTTTCTTCCTTGTGGCAAAATCTGTCTGGAGACTTGCTCAGTTGGATTTCGGACCTGACATGCCAGTGCCGAGAAAAGCCCTCACAAGCCCTAACCCAACCCCACAATCTAAGCCTACGTGCAGCAAGCCCTCCACCCCAACTCATCAACCCAAACCCTTAACCCATGAAGGACGAGTTTTGGGAGGGATCCAGCAGCAGCTCTTCGAGCTCTATGTGCAGGCGCTGTTTGCGTATTTTTACAACAGAGTATACAGTTTTGGTGTTCAGCGTCTTCAGAGGTCTTGTATCGGCATCGTCTAAAGTTGCGACAGCACAGCTGGGAAGCCGAAGTTCAGCAAGACGTCACGCTTGGGAGGGACTCCGGTCGCTCACTGCTTAGGTATCAGAGCCTCTGTAAAGGGACGGATGGCATTGATCGATGGGTGGGGTGAGTGTGCGGGTGGGTCGAGACACATGTCGGGTATTTGGGGTTGATGTTTACCTGCTCCATTGCGAGGTTGATTGTGAGAGAGTACAGGAGCTTTCCTTGACTTGGGGGTTAGGGTTTAGTGCGCATAGATCCACAGCCAACTCAACTCCGCAAACCCCACAAGTCCTCCAATCCTCCGATCTCGCCAAGCTATGGGTGTTGCCAAGATCCGAACAGCCCCTGCTTCTTCCAAACCGACTTGTAAGTGAAATAATTGACTCGTCGTCATGATTGCCATGTGCGCATATTTTGTTTTATTTTCTTGGTCAGCATCGCCATATTCAGTTCATTGCGCTGCTTTCTCCCAAATATTCTTTTCATTCCTCAACCGCATGAGATAACACACGACTCCCAGCTTCGTCGGGAACACGGCGGTCCGCTACACGCCGCAGCCGCCCCCATCGTGGCTCCTGGACTTGTGCAGTTTCGGGCTTAGGCTTTCAGATTTCAGCTTCAGGGCTGGGGTCCCTGGCAAGAGCTATTGCGCCTTGAGACGGATGTTCAGTTTCTTCAAACATCTTCCGACCCATGTCGAAGCCAGTTTCCAGGCAAGCGCGGCCCTGTACGAACTTCGTGTGCGTGAGGTATGCTTTTGGTTTGGTGAAGTCCCGTAACATATTCTTGAACCGAAGCTGCGATAAAGCCCCAGCCGGCCTAGCCACGCTAAGATTGACATTAGTGACATGGCTTGTCGTCATAGTCATAAAAGCACTTTCCAGCCTGAACCTGAATCGTAGTAGAGCCCTAAGGCTCTAAGGGCTGGGCGAGTTGCAGCGTGTTCGAGGTGTTGCATTATAACCATCATGAGGACGGGGAGAATGGCAGGGTTGGAATGGCGGTGGGGGAGTGGGCACGAAAAGAGAGCAGGCGGACCGTGGGGGCGGTCGGTCAGGGGGCGCTAGAGCTCCTAAGACTAAGACCCTACAGAGTTGACGCTCTACGGCCCTGAACCCTAAATCGTGCGGGATTTCTTGACATTTTACTCAGGTTCCTTGATGTCCTGAAACTGCCATCTTTGAAGCGGAAGCCAAAGCCATGCAGAGGATTGGTCTCGGCCATCCGAACGCGAAGCTCGTGCTCGGACTTCTTGGCGGACGAGCCGAAGACGAATGGGAGTGAGTCGTGCCCAGCCAGCTTTGGTTGAGGTTTCATAGGACACTTGCCTTTTCTCGCCGAAACTACACACATACAACCGATGATGCATTTGCGGCGACTGAGCCCAGGGTTTGGCTTTGATGGCTGGCTGAAAATCTTTACAAACTTCTGGCTAGGTTATTAAACGGTGCAGTAGCCTTGTGCGAGCACATGACAAGCATTGGCAACCACACCACATCCTCACAGAGCCCTAAGAGCTCGCTTCTGAATAAAATGCTCTTGGCCTTCAAATTCATAAACCCTTAAACCCCTACACAACCCAAAAGCCGTTTCCAGACCTTCGTGGGCGGTTTGCGTTGATCTGAGGGACCCCATAAACCCTATAAGCCCGAAGCCCTTCTTTTGTGTCATCCATCGGACCTGCGCCGCCAATCTCCCCTTGGGACCCGTTCCCTTGAGGTTTCTGCTCCAGGGTTTTTGGGGTTTGGGGTTCCGAAATTAGTACGGCACCCTTTTTAGAGCATGCGAACCGGGATCCTAGTTTAGAGCAGCACCCATGAACTTCTAGAGATTTCCGAGATTTCAGACTGAGGAAAGCTCCTGAGCTCCAGCGCCAGAGGAACCGAGAGCTTGGGAGACGTGGGGTCAGCTCGAACTTGGGGGTTCAAGGGTTTCAGGTCCCCTAGGTTTAGGGTTTAGGGTTCAGGGTTTAGGGTTTAGGGAGGGTTTCAGGTTCCCTAAAACGGCTCAGCGCTGCTGATTGTTATGAGGACTTCGGGGCTTAACTGGGATGATTATATTTGTTACTCGGTGTAAGGTGTCAGGAAGAAACCCAAATAGTACCCGGAAGCCTTATTTACTCTTGGGGCTCCTGGTTACATTGAATACAAAGCATACCCTACATCTTATAGGAGGCGATAGAGGGCAACCCGGGTTCAAGTGCTTTGGGGCTGAGTGTTGTGAGGTAATCCGTAAAGCGTTGGTTTCTTGCTTGGGGTTCAGCATTCAGGGGTTTGAGCCCAGGGAGGTTTGGCTTGAGGGTTCTTGTCATGGTTAGTTTCGATGCGCATGTCTGCATAAGTACGACCGTAGAGCCAACGAAACAATCGCATCTACCTTGACATGTCCCACTTAGCTTCAACGTTCGTTGAGCATACGGGTTCTTCAGGGTTCTAGCTGTTTCCAGCTTCGCTTACATCCTCGAGTTTTCGAGTTGACAGAGTTTTGTTCACGAGTCCCTCTGTCGTGAAAGCACGGAGTTATACTCTGTAAAACTGAACGACATGTCAACCCAGCTGTGTAAAACTCTAGCTCCGAAACCCTATTCTCCACGAAAGTATAACACAGATCCCTAATGCTGAAACAGGGTAGTGGTGTACGTTCAACTAAAGCTGTGTTGAGAGAACCGTTAGGACTATTATATTTGTATAAATAAATATTCACACCTCTACGTTAGTTGTGCTGTTCCAGCTTTCCCCATACAGTTAGGGAGAAGACCAAGGCACTGCAGAACTTTACCCGAACCCGTGGCGCTAAATCATTTGCCTAACATTAGTCTTACAAACAGAAGGCGCCGAATGCACAACTGGCAACACTTTTCTGTTGGTTGTCTATAGTACCTATATACACTATGTAACTCCCCCCAGGGCAATTGCAATTATTAAGATTCCTGTAATACACAAGCTTTCAACTTTGGAGACCCCAGGCCTGAGACCGGGGCAGGGGAGTAGGCGGAGCTCCGCTTGATGGGTCCAAATGAAAGTCGGGATTGTAAGGTTGCGGCTAGGGTCAGGGTTTAGGGCTGAGGGTTTGGAGGTCCAGGGTTGTTGAATAGATTTCGGGGTTCGGGGCCTTGAATGTGCTTCGTCTCCCAAAGGCAATTTGTGACGTAAGTGCCTTGACAAAGGTTGACCCGTGCTGTTGGCACTGTCAAGCGCGCCCCTGCAAACTCCTGCAAGGATTTGTCATATGGGGTTTCCGAAATCGAGGGACGCTGAACACAGTTATCGTATGGGATGTTCTTCATAGCGCCATACTGGTAAAATACTGCAAGGAGACCGCAGGGAGGCTTATCCGCCCATCAGGAAACCTCAATCATTGGATTTGCGTTCTCTTCCACACGTCGAAAAGCACGAAGCCGCTGGTGAGTGGTGCGCAATGCTTCCACAGCTTAGACTCTAAGAGCTGCGAGCTTATTATTATTATTATTATCAGCAATATTCTCTTATTATTCATACTGTTATTTCCACCATCGTGATGATCATTGTTGTTGTTACGCAGTTTTGTTATACTTCTTCATTTCGGTGTCCTATGAACAAGACCCGCCCACTCACCCACATTAAGGTTCGAGGTCCTGCACGGGACCATGATGAGTCCCCCCAACTGGGCTTGAGTTCTAGGCTTGCTGAAGAGCAGCAGTAGTAGTCGTCGTAGTCGGGGTTGTAGTCGTAGTCGTAGTCGAAGTAGTAGCAAGCACGTAGTAGTAGTAGTAGTAGTAGTAGTAGTAGCAGCAGCAGCAGCAGCAGTAGTAGTAGTAGTACTAGTAGTAGTCGTCGTAGTAGTAGTAGTAGTAGTAGTAATAATAGTAGTCGTGATAGTAGTACTAGTAGTAGTAGTAGTAGTAGTAGTAGTAGGAGGAGGAGGAGGAGGAGTAGGAGTAGGAGTCGGAGCAGGAGTAGGAGTAGGAGCAGCAGCAGCAGCAGCAGCAGCAGCAGCCGTGGTGGTGGTGGTGGTGGTGGTGGTGGTGGTGGTGGTGGTGGTGGTAATAGTAGCAGTAGCCACAGCAGCAGCTGCAGCAGCAGCAGTCAGATGCTGGCATGATTGTGAACCTTGATCCGGCCAA